ATATAATTTTAAAACAGTAAGTCCCTGGAGATAAGAAGGATCAGGAATCAGCAGTCAGAAAGAAACACATCAAGGAAAACAAGGGTAACAACATTTCAGATATTAAATACAACAAGCAAGGACTATACATTCTATTCCTCCTCCACCTTAACATCTTAATCCCTGCTCGTCATTTTACCGCATCCTCACTTTTTGCTGGATTTGGTTTTAGAAGACAGGGAATAAGGTTTTTAAAAATTATTAATAGTAGTAGTAGTAGTGATATCAATAGTCACAATTCTCCTCAGCCCGGTAACACCTACCCCCCATTTCTCAGTCATCTCTGCTAGTTCTAATGCTGTTAGCACTTACCCAAATGGAGTTTCTGATTAGAGGGACCAAGATTGGAAGTGGATGATGATAATAGTAGTAGTAGTAGTAGTAGTAGTAGTAGTAGTAATAATAAATAATAATAATAATAATAATAATAATAATAATAATAATAGAAAATTAAACATGTATGCTGCCCAACTTTCAACTATAGAATGATAGAGATAGAAGTAGAGATGGAGATGGAGATAAAGAGAAGGAGATGGACATAAAGATAGAGATACAGTAGATTAGGGCCTAAATATAGAAATATCATGACTGCGAGCTTTCTAGTTTTTAAGTAATGCTGTAGAAGAAAGCAGAGTGCCAGTAAGAAGATTGACAATTCACTAATTTCTTTTCCCCCAGCACTTCAGATTTATTTAAATCTTTATTTAAGATAATAAAGATGAAATGCCAGCAGACTCAGGTTATTTTCCCACTAGGTCTTTTTCCTGAAATTGCCATCATTTCTTTACTCCCTTTATATAAAGACATTAGATAACCTCATTGCCAAATTGTTGCATTCCCATGTTCCCTGTATTGCCCTCTTTTGTTTTCCAAGTCTGAATTGTGGGACTGCAATAAAATGTAACTATGGCCTCAGTTTGGGAAATGAAATTGGGGCTTTTGTGTCTTTAAATGAAAGATTCCAGGTTTAATTTCTACCTGACCATTGTGGATAGAGGGATTACTGACGAGCTCACACCTTTTTAGTCAGTTTAAGTATTGTAGGACTATCCTATATGGTGGCAAACATCCAGATGGTCACAAGATGGCAGCAGATACAAAAAATATTAGTTCTTGGCTGCCATTTAAGTGGTTGTCCAAATGTTTGCATGCCAAATAGCCCTAAAGTATTGACTAGCTCCCACTTGCTTTGTCAGAATGTATTACTATTACGATATGGTAAATAACTCTATTTTGTTCTAAAAGAAAGGCACAGGATGAATAGAAGAAAGGCACTCATTAAACCTGCCTCCCACTTACAGCAAACAGAAGCAAGGAAAATATTAAGCTGCTGAATAAATGGTCAGAAATTTCATACAGAAAACTTTCAATAAACATCAAACATGGTACTTGTTCAGTGAAATTTACTTCATGCTCATTATCAGGGAAGCTAGAAATACGTAGGGTATAATTTAGCTATGCAGGCAACTGAAACCTCAGCCATGGAACCAAATTACTGCCATGAAATACCAAGACAATTCTATGGGGCATACTGTATGTTATAGTGTTACCCTAATTGTCTTTAGATGTTTATTTTTTTTAATGGTTGTGTTACTTGTTTTTTTAGTTTTCATTCTCTGTTCGCCACCCAGAGCCACAATTGTGAAATGGGTGGCTATATAAATTGTGTAACTAACTGGCTGACTGACTGATTATTTGTCTCCTCACATAAGCATGGCTGAATGTTCTCATGATTGCAAAAAAGAAAAAGAAAGGTTAAATTACTTATTAAATTAGGAGTACCAGATCTGGGCTGCAGAAGATCAGATGACCACTGAAATGACAGCAAAGGGATAGGATTCCTGTATTTTTGTTGCTGCCATCTAGTGCTAGTTTGCATTTTTGCAGCCCAGAGTTGGCAGCCCTAATTAATTACCAAAATGGTGAGAATTCATTATTAAGCAAATTTGCCAGTATACCCTTTCCCACTCTAATTTCCCTAGTATGGGAATAGGCAACCTAGTTGTATTTAGATGTTTTAAATCACCACTCCCATAATCCCTAACCACTGACTATGCTGTCTGAAGTTTATGGGATCTGTCATTCAAGATCTCTAAGTTGCCTCTTCCTGAGGTATTTCCTCTCCAAGATCCACCTATAAAATCCAGCTTCTGGCTGTCCTACAGGTCAGAGAAAGCACAATTCAAGATCTGTAGTCCATACTTGGATAGTAAGGTTCATGTTTACTCTGGGGCAACAGAATCCCTGGATTATTAAATAGCTATGGATTCTTACCATAAGTTTATGAACATACAAACAAACATGAAGCTGTATTCTACTCCAGCCATAGAATACGATCTACTCTGACTTTCAGCCCCTCTCTATAGTCAGTCCCAGATCTATTTGCCAACATTCTTTTAATGGAAAGTGTCAGGGTTAAAACAGAGACCATAGTTATACAAGCCAAATATACTATATACTATATAAAACCAGCAAGGAATCAAATTATTTGGGCTATAGATCCGCATGCTTCCATTTTACTAAACATCTGTATCATGTCCCACATCAAACAATGGAAAACCAACATTTCACATAGAAATGCTTCATCCTAAGTTTCATGCGCTAGTCCTGTTTTTGCATGATATTTCTGAATAGCGGCTGGGATTGTTTGGAATGCATTTACGTGGAGTGGCAATACTTCCTACTTTACAAAAGACAGTCTTGTGTTTGCAGACAATGTATTACAGTAGTTAAAGACAACTTTATTCCAGGTTTAAGGAATCTATAGCTCTCTAGATATTGCTAAGCTATAACCTCTGGCTGCAGAGGCAGCATGCTCAATATTGAAGGATACCAGATCATCCATAATGATGAAACTTGGGTAATAAATTTGGGACTCAGTGAATTAAATGACCCCTTCCAATTTGAAGATTCAGCAAATTCCATCCATCCATCCATCCATCCATCCATCCATCCATCCATCCATCCATAGGACTCCAGAGCCCCCCAAACCCAGCTTGATTTGAAGGGCCACTGAGTCACAATTTTATTTCCAAAGATTGAAAAACACAAAAATAGAAAGAAACAACCTTGAAGCTGTTCATCAATTGTGGATTAGCAATAAGTAATGTGACACATCTGGTCACAGGCCCTTCTTCCAATGAGGTGGTATCTGATGTCTACTTAAATCACAGCTACTATTGCCCAATTTGCATCTATACCTATATATTAACATAAGCAAACTTTATGTAAGCAGTGCTCTCTTTTTGGGCAAAGAGTGCAGTATGTGTAATCAGCCAATCTATATACATGGAAGCCCCTCCACCCCAAGCCCCCTCCCCATTGCAAAAGGTCCCAAATGCATTTCAGTCTCACAATAATTGTACCCTTTCTCCCATGACTCCTTCCACAAACATCTTTGCTGTTGTTATTATTATTTGTAGCCGTCACAATATATTTTGCAACAAAAGAGGGTTGCGCGCTACTTATCCTCACATTTCTGCCTGGGTTACGCACCATGGGAGGTGCTGGCGTTGGCATAATGGCCGTAGGTGGGATGGCGTGAGGAAAAGGCGTGAAGGTGTGCTGGTGCGTGTGTTGGTGCGTGTGCTGGTGTTGGTGCTGGTGCTGGTGGAACTCCGTCCTTAAGTAGGGTGGTGGGCCCAGCGAGGCGCCACGATCAGCGCTCTGGGAGGCCAGAAACCGAGTGTTCAGCTCCTGGCGGAGAAGATCTTGCTCTGGAAAGCAAGACAACATCATGAATGTTTCTCCATTCCTCCTTTACTTATTTCAACGGTCTTATGCATCATTCCAATCATTGCCAGCTCCGAGCAACATACATGCCTAATTCTGTAAGGAAGGTTAAAAATGTACATCAGCATCTGTACAATAACAACATAGCACAAGGCAACTCACAACTGTTCACTAACGAATAATATGAAAAACCCAAAGTCTATCTCCAAAGACTGTTGAAAAGCCAGGTTTTGATGGCCTTCCTAAAATTCAGTAAAGTTGGGGCCATATGCATCTCAGTGGGGATGGAGCTCAGGGGGGATCAGAGAAGAAGGCCTGCCTCCCCATTTCCTCAGTGCAGAGACCAAAGGGGCCCCTTCAATCTGATCTTCTTGGGGGCACCAAAAACAATCGGGAGAAGGCCATCCTGAAGGTACCCAGGACCTGAGCCATCTTCCCTTTACTGAGTTCTCCTTATTGCACAGGGGATAATTTTGAAATGTAGGTGGTTGAGCTCCTGCTTTGTTCATGCAAGCACAGGGGCTTCCATAGGGAGTCAATGACATCAAAATGCGTGACCAGGGCAATCAAAGCCCTGAGACTTTTTACATGTGTGAGATGTATGTGACACACTCTAAACAAGGGTAGGGCTTTGATCACCAGGTTGCGTCTACCATTTGGATGCTGTTGACCCTCCACCCCCTTTGTAGTTACCCCTGCACAAGAAACAACATATATTTTATCCTTCCCTCTGCTTTGCAGGACATGTGTGCTCAGTTTAGAAATGTAAGTTTCCAGATAGTAATCTTTTATTCTTATTATTGTTGTCGTCAACCCAAACCAATCTACTGGAGGATGCGGGCCTCTATATGTTATGGACTATAATCTACCATGTTGTTCCAGTATAAATGGGCAGATAGAGATTTTCAGACTTCTCAATCTAGCCCTGAGAGAGAGTAAATCAACCACACATCCCCCAGGGAGCTTCTGTGGCAAAGGGTTGGCTACAACCTAGGTCTCCCCATTGCTATTCCAACACCTTAAGCACTACATGACACTGGCTCTTGCACTGAAAGAGAGTGTCTGACTCAGCGTGATCTGGCCAATTTCTGTGCCTAAGGGAAGATTAGAATCTGAGTTTCCTTGGTCCTAGTCCAGCACTTCAACCATTACAACACTCTTGCTCTCATGCTGTCAAAGATCTGGATCTAGAGACAGAGACAGAGACAGAAACAGTGACAGAGACAGAGAGAGAGGTTTCTCTTCAGATCGTATGCATGGGTACACAGAAAATAATTCAGAAAAAGGACTTTGGACCTCATTCAAGTAGACGCCCAGCACATCTCCTGTTATTAAAGCAGGCTGTTGTTTTTCTGGTTTCCACATGAGACTGGGGGGAAAACAACCTTATTAAGAGTGGCATTAACTTTAATGAATAGATTGCTTAAATGAGCTGCACCTTTCTTTCGAGCGCACGTAGAAGCCTGAAAAAGCAAGCTGCTTTAATGAACAGCAGAAAGGTGCTGGGCTTGTGCACAGATCAAAATACTTTTTCTATATTGCTTTCTCAGTCTTGGGGGAAACATCCAAATAGTTTGGGGAAAAAACAAACTGTATGCACTATTTCATTATCCTTTACAGAGATAAATACATGGATGCTGCTGCCAATGTTCTTGAGGCATAGTGGACAGATTTTGATCTCTCTGGCTCAAAAGCAGGAGCAAACAAGGTGAAATCCTTCCCTCTCTTGTGAAAATAAAAACTGGTGGCCCTCGGGGGAAGAAAGGCCATCTTGTTTTTGCATTTGAGAGGGGTAGTGTATAGCTTGTCCTATGAATACAGGACAATCCTCTGATATTGGAAGAGATTTATATAACCTTTTTTTTTTTTTTTTTTTTAGAAAAAAAATCATTTGGGGGAATAAAGGCTGGGGGGCAATATATATGTATATATTTTCACCATTTTATGTATCACTCCCTCCCTCCTCTTGATGAACTTTGCTGCTCCTTGAGATTGCCTCTTGTCAAATATGGCCTAGCTCAATCAAATCTGTTTGTACAAAAGATTGGTAGAAGGTAGATTGGAAACTATTGGTAGGTCTTTAGAATATTTGCTCAAGTTGGAAAGCGTCTCCAAACAGATCAACTGGTTTAGACACTTGGTCGCCATTTTGTGTTAGTACATCTAGGAGGCAACCTTTATGTGCCAGGTCCATTCCTCTCTCTCTCTCTCTCTCTTTTTAAAAGCCAACTTCTAGCGGCCCTTGCAGCAGGATAATGATGTGGTGAAGCAAAAATGTGCAGTCCTTTGGAGAAGAGTTTGGGAGGCAAACTATACGTATTAAGCCTAGCAGAGGTTTAATATGCTTATTTTAATCTTTACTTCTGCAGCTGCACAAAAGCCTGCCTGTGCATGCTGCCGTGTCCAAAGCTTCACCCTTCCCTCTTAAAATGTTTTAAACCTGCCCCCCTTGCCATATGCTAATAATCTGATTAAAGCGAGCAAAGAAACAAGTGTTTGGTCCAGGAAAGTACCCTTTCTTCCTTACCTGAGTAAGCAGTGCCAGCAGGATGACCCGGAACTTGTAACGTCCCCGATGTCAGAGGAGGAGGAGGAGGCAATGCCGTGGGAGGGGCAAACATATTGGGGTGATGGGTGTGGGTAGAAGGTTGGAGGGCAGGTGTGAAATTATGGAGGGGGCTGTGGTTGGGCAAAGAGAGAGGGAAGGGGGATGCTGAGGGATGGTGTGCTATGGGTGGAGGAGGCGGTGGGGGTGGAGGGGGTTGAGTTTTGGCCGGAGTACTGCTTCTGCTGCTGCTGTTCATGGGAAAGAAAAGATGCAGAAAGGAAGATATTAGCAAATGCTGGCCACGGGAAGGAGTTATCAAGCAAGGAATGGCAGAGCCCCAAGCCCACCCATTGCCCCAAAGAGGGAACAAAGAATTCTCCACCTCAGATCAGAACGGCCTAATCTGTTGAGTGTGAAAAGTGGCCTGAGGCTTCCTTATCCCACCAGTCCTGATGGGAAGTGGGAGGCAAGGCAGATGCACATTTGCTATCCCTCAGGATAGATTACGGCTGGACTTACCCCTTGTGCTAAAAGCATGGTTTGTTTTAAGCACAGTTGGCTAACCAACCACCATGTTCTTGCTTCCAGAAAACACCAAGCCATGCACCATGTTTTACGAGCTACAGTGGCTAGGTTCAGACAATAAGGCAAGCCAGGGGACTGGTAGACACTTGGGCAATTTTGAGAGCACGTTATGGCCATTCTCACAAAATGGCTGCCCTGATGGATATGACCAGTCCTCAAACACTCATTTATCAGAATGACAATCCGTGAGACCTTCCCCAGCTATTCCAGCAGCCACTTAATCTCACTGTACCTGACTTTTTCCAGGCAGAAAGGCCATACTTGCATACAAAGTAAAAGCTGTATCCACCCACCATTTGATTTTTGAGGAACATCTCTTGGGTCTACATGAAGCCCCCACACTTTATTGGAAATACACATGGATAAAGGCTGATGCTTTTCTGAGCTGTGGGACAGTTTCCCCCTTATTTATTTTTAATTTTAAAACATCTAAAAAGCTAAAATTGAGGAGGGCAAGAACTTGATAGAAGCTGTGAGAGATATTCCTGCACATCTCTGGGTTTCATTAGCAGGAGCGTGAATCCAGGCTAATTATTTAGCGCTGTATTTTCTTCTCTGATTAGCAGCCTCTCCCCAACACTCGAGACAGCAAAAGCCTTGCTCCACTTTCAGTTCTTTAAATTGGAGACAACAGTACTGGAATCTGGCACCTTTCCCCTCTGAATCTTTAGCTTTTTGTCTAGTCTCGGTTTCCAGGGCTGGCCCAGAGTTTTTGGATTATGGAAGAAGATGTCATTTATAATTCGTTGGCTGTCTTCCAAATCTCCCACAGCACTCACCCAAAGAAAAAGCCTGGCCCCTTTTCAAGAAATGTCAACATCTCTACTTTTACAACACAGTTGATGAACTGATGCTTGGAAAATGCCCAGCATGATCCTCACCTCAAGCTGTTGAGGCTTAAACTGCTGCTGTTATAAGCCGACAACTGTTGTGCAAGGCTACGGGAGGGAGGACGCAGCTGGGCAGGTGGTAGGTTTTGATGGGCTGGCTGCCCAGGAGAGGGAGGTCTTGATGGGTGTTGTATTTGGGAAGGAGGGACTGTGGGAAACTGGGCCTCCTCCAAGGCTGGTTGCTTCTCTGGGGCTTCAGAATAGGATGAGTGTGCAGGGTGGACTGCAGCAGGCTCTGGAGAACGTGCCTCTGTGGGTGGCTCCAAACGAGGTGGGACCAAAGGCTGAGAAACTTGAGGGCAAAGATCCTGAGGCACAACAGGGTCAAGTGATGGCTCTTTCCCACTGTCCTGACTCTTCTCTTGGCTCCGTTCTAATCCTGATATTTTGGGGACTGCCAAAGACCTGGCCTCTTGATCTTCATTTTCTGTTAGCGTACCAACTCCTAAATCTGTATCTGGAAACAAAAAACATCAAACACAAAGAAGATGGTTGATATAACAGGGCAAACTACACATACTCTGAAGCTACAGTTTAGCTTGTTATGTTAATAACATAACACTGTCACCTCTGGGGGAGATGGGCGGCATATAAATTTAATAAATAAAAAAATACTGTATGTTCTGACTGATTTTACGCTGACATTTTACTTTCTGATAGAAAATCCGGTTGCTGATAACAGAACGTTAGTTGCAGTCCAACTTTTATGAGAGAAGCCGAAGGATCAAAAACAACCATCGCAGACCTCTTTATCAACCATAATGAATGAAAATGCAAACGCAACAAGAAGTTTTCAAAAATGCAACACAAACATATTAAGTCATAAAATGAAATGCTACATGTGAAGAACTGCAGTGAAACCCTTGTTCACAGCAAGTGATTCCAAGATGAATGTCAACTGTGAGAGCGTCTCAGAATTATGGCATCAAAACAGAGAAGGTCCTCTTGTGCTTATTCTTTAAGCCTCCTGAGAGGGCAAACTTGAGATGATCCACTCCATTTTGTGCCAATGGAGCTTCAAAAGCTTTCCTAGATTATCTCCACATAAACAACACTCCTACTGGAAATACCACTGAAATAAACAAGCCGTGCGTGAATATACATGTGGAGACAGCCAGAGAAAGCCTTTGAAGGACGTAGCTATTTAACAGAAATGAGATGCTTGACTCATGCCAGTACATTTTATGAAGCATGCCTATTTAATTATTTGTTTGTTTATTCACTCACTCACAAAATCATAGCTCTGGGCAGCCTACAAAACAAAAACAACAGAAAACAGGAAGCTAAAAAAGAATCTGGAAAAACAGTCCCAACGAAAAACCAAAACACCACACAAGGGGTCCATCGCCCACTGTACTCCAAGGACTGGAGGAACAGCCAGTTCTTGAGGGCTCATTTAAACAGGCTCAAGGTGGGAGCCATATGGATCTCAGGGTGAATGTTGTTCCTGAGGGCAGGTGCCATGACAGAGAAGAACCGATTCCTGGGTCGCACCCGACGATGCTGTTTAATTAATGGGACCTGGAACATGCCAACTCTGTCAGAAAGTGTGGGTTGGACAGAAGTTACAAGGGACAGGCAGTCCCTCAAATAATCAGACTGCATATCATGAAGGGCTTTACAGGTGATAACCAGCACCTTGAATTGCATCTGGTAACCTACTGGTAACCAAAGCAGTGGTGTTACATGGGCATAGCATGGCATGCCCAGAACTGCCTGTGCTACTGCCTTCTGGACCAGCTACAGTTTCTGAATGATCTTCAAAGGTAACCCTATGTAGAACTCATAGCAATAGTCCAGATGTGAGATGACTAAAGTATAACTGGCTGTCTTAAGGGCCTCCTTGCTGAGGTACGGGCATTAATGTCATATTACGTAAACCTATGCAAAGGCCTTCCTGGCCACAGGTGCCATCTGCTTCTTGAATAGGAGTTGTGAGTCCAAGAAGTCCCCCAAATTGTGCACTAGCTCTGAAATAGGAAGTGAGACCCCGTTCATAGCTAAATACGGAATCACTCCAGACTCAGGCAGTCCAAACGTCCACAGCCACTCAGCTTTGTCAGGGTTGAACCTAAGCTTTTTCTTCCCCATCCAAACATACACAGCCTCCAGACACTGGAGCAAAATGGAGCTATCATCAATAGCTAGACATTGAGAGCACACAGTTCACTGAATCACAGCTTTCTCCATGATGGTAAGACGGCTTTTATTTTTTTTAAGAAATGGTAACTATTTCAAAATCTGTATCTAGAAGTTACTAGACAACAAACCTTAAGCAAATGGATGCCCTACTTTACTATCTTTGCTCTGTTGCTTTGTTGTTTTGGCTATGCACAAGTGGTCACATTATCTACAACTCCTCCATATCAAGACTGCAGTGGTAGATCCACTACTGCTACCAAGAGCTGAGAGAGAGCAAATCTGGCAAAAGGATAACGGTTCCTTCAAGATGAGTTCCACCAGACCTCAATTCCTTCTTGCTGGATGTGTTAAACCTAACAGTCTTCCAATTAAGCTATTGTAACCTGAAACGTGATGGAGGCTGCCAAGGTTTAGAATTCTTCTCTGTTGCTGAAATCCACAAAGACAAATTGAGGGAAAGCTCTGGACTCGTTTTAGTCCCATTAGTTTTGTACACACAGAGGCGGAGAGCTGACAGGGCTTTCGCAGGCCTCACAGAGCTTCCACTTTATGCCTGTCATTTTGGGTAAACATTCATTACCTCAGCCAGTGCTCCTGTCCTTTTCCAGACCTCAGAAAGTTTGAGGGCCTCACATTATGGAAAACCTTTGTAAGAAGCTGAGGGAGCAGTCTTGGAAGCCCAAGTTGCTGTTCCGCAACAAATCTAGTTTTATTAAAAACATCTGAACTGGCTTTGAGATGCGTCTCCAAGTAAGGAAAGAAATGCAAGGATCTAAAAGCAATAATGAAAAATGAAGCAACCCCCTCCGTAGATGATGACCATGAACCTGGCATTAAAGGGAGGTGTGTATTTTCAGTTAATAAGAACGCAAGAAGAACCCTTGAAGAATAAGTTTAGTTTTCCGTGCTCCACAGTGATCCAACAGCTACATTTGAGGAGCTCATAAGCCTGGATGAGAAGTCAAGAGTCCTGTTTTAATTGCTTCCTCTTAACCAATATTGGGAGGTGTGTATTTTCAGTTAATAAGAACGCAAGAAGAACCCTTGAAGAATAAGTTTAGTTTTCCGTGCTCCACAGTGA